TCTCTTTGTTGGTCCTCTTTGGAGACCTTAATTCTCGTAGATTCTTCTCCACCTTCCATTACTCTTATTCCCTTTCTAGCATTTTTCCATCGGTGTACAACGATCCCGTTGCGGTCAGTACTGTTGCTTGCTTCGTTCTGTTCTCTCGTATTATCCATTGTTTTTCATTTCCTGCTAATTGTTGCTGCGTATTCAGTCACTTCTATGTTTTTCGCATGCTTAATTAGTTAAGTAATGCATTGTCTCATTACCTATATTTATTTAACAATTAATGCACTGTCTTGTGTTTTTACGTGATGTATCACCAATTGAAATGCCATTGGAGCTCTAATTTCTTTCCAGTGTTGAATAGTCTCGATGTGTTAGTTTTAGGAAGTGTATTTTATGCATATCATTGAGAGACGCCATGAAATTTGGGGAATTAAGTGTGGTAGTGTCAATAGTACTGATGATTTTCGCTGGACATTGAGTGTCAAGTTTCTTTAATGGATATATTCGCAACTTTCATATATTCTCAAGTTTAGTTGACTGGGGCAAACTAGGTTTATTAACTATTAATTTAGTTTATTATATCATTAGAAACACTTGTAATAGCTAGTGATTTCCCAATGTAAAATTATTGTAGCGTCTGGTGTTGATATGAATCTGTCATACTTTAGTCATTCTCTGGTCTTATGAATAAAGTTATTCAAATGCGAATGTTTATAAACACTAAATCCATTTGTTTTATCTAGTTTCATAAGCATAATAAGCATAATCTTCATCATTGACTCTCGAGCAGACTAGCAATGAATATCCACTCGAAAAGGTCCTGAATGACGCTGCTATGAAAGACAGAACAGTAATCTTGACCACGTTAAATGAAGCATGGGCAGCTCCAGATTCAATCATTGATCTTTTTCTTGAGAGCTTTAGAATAGGAGATCGTACCCGTTCCTTTTTAAATCATTTGGTAATCATTGCATTGGACCAAAAGGCATTTGCACGCTGTCAGGTTATACACATTCATTGCTTTTGTCTAGTTAGTGAAGAAACCGACTTTCGTGAAGAGGCGTACTTTATGACTCCTCGCTACTTGATGATGATGTGGAGAAGGATTGATTTCCTACGTTCTGTTCTTGAGATGGGATACAATTTTGTGTTCACAGTAAGTTATTTTTTCCATCACTAATAATACCTCTTGCACCTCACAAGGACTGACTTGTGTGAACATTAAAGTGGTTTTAGTTTTAGTGGCCATGGAAACATTCTAAAAGTTGTGAAATTTATTATTTTTTGTGATTGATTTTCTTATGATGTAGTGCGTAATGGGAAAAACTGTCTGTCATGTGAGTGAGGGAATGAGTTACTTGTAAGTTTACTTTGTATACTTGGCTAATTGATTGAGTATTTCACAAACAAATAGTAGTCTATATTGATTATAGCAATGCATGGTGGTCTTTATCTATGTGGCAAGATTTAGAATTATTCTATTCTGGGTTTTGTTTGATAAGGAAAAGTAAAATATGGTTGTGGTTAATATAATATTCTGATCAAATCTTGAGGAAAATATTATTCTTGGTTATTTTTATAGAACTGTATGTTGAGCTAAACTTCTGCCTCTAACTTCCTTTTCGGAATTTAATTTAAATTGAAATTCGCAACTGATAGGAACTAGCGCATCAGTGCAGTGTCATAACGGCAAAGTTTAGGCTATACATTTTATTATTGATGCTCTCATGTATCTTCCTACACCGAGTTGTCTTTTTGAAAAAGGGGAAGATATGAAAAGGACAAGACTTCGGAAAAATCTATAGAAGAAGCTAGATAAATTTCAGAAGTATCTTAATTAGATACTTACTTTGGTGTTCCTGTCCCAGGATGCCGATGTCATGTGGTTTAGGAACCCATTTCCACACTTTCACGTTGATGCAGATTTCCAGATAGCGTGCGATCATTTCACAGGTAGATTTGATGATGTAAACAACAAACCCAACGGAGGGTTCAACTTTGTAAAGTCCAATAATAGATCAATAGAATTTTATAAATTCTGGTACTCTTCACGAGAAACCTATCCTGGATACCATGATCAAGATGTCCTTAACTTCATCAAGGCTCATCCTTTCATTACTTATATTGGACTGAAGATGAGGTTTTTGGATACATCTAATTTTGGTGGTTTTTGTGAACCAAGTAGAGATTTAAACCATGTTTGTACCATGCATGCAAACTGTTGTTTTGGTTTGGATAGCAAGCTTCACGATCTCAGAATAATGCTTCAGGATTGGAAACATTATTTATCTTTACCTCCAAGTTTGAAGAAGTTGTCAGTTGTTTCCTGGAGGGTTCCTCAAAAATGCAGGTTGGCCGTTTACTCAAGCTTTTCTATAATTTAACTTTGTTTTTCCTTACCATTGTGAAACAACTCTTTTTGACTTCTCATTTCCTGTTATTAATGGGGTGAAACTTCACCTCAGCCTTGACTCTCTCAGGCCCCATGATGCACCAGAAAGGAGTCCTGAAGAATAAAGTGTTAATTCCATACATATCTGACTTAAATGTGGAAGTTCAACTGTGCACTCGGATGAAGGTATGGATTAGGATAATCAACTTTGCTAAACCGATATTTGATGGAAGAATTCTTCCAAGTAAAATTACCTTAGGCAATGTGTAAGATGTAATAAGCTGTTTAATTCGTTGATTTTTTTGTGTGTTTTCCTAGAGCAAATTTTCTAACATTATGGTACTGGAACTATTTTCTTAGCCTCAACAATCAACATCCATGCCTTCATCTTTTCCCTCAATAAAGAAATTCAGAAACAGAAACCCAACAGGTCTTAACTAGTTTGAAATTGAAAGGACTGTAGATGAATTGTTTGAAAAGCTACTTTCTGTCTTTAACCATTGCCCTGCTTCCGTTTCTTTGCTCCCTATTACACAATTACTAATTTTGCTGTTAGTGAGTCGCAAGGTTTTGATAAAATTGAATGCTCTTAAATTCGTAGCTCTTCGGAGGGACGGTATGCAGACAGAGTCAGATAACCACCTAAGTATCTAAGTTCATATTAGGCACTGGGATGACATGAAAAATTTATTAAAAAAAACATAAAAACATAAAAAATTTACTAAAAAGAAAAAAAAAACATAGGAGGTATTACACAAAAAAAAAAAAACAGAAAAACAGGGAGGATATTACATTAATATTGAAGTGAGATATTGACCACATAATTATAAGACATTATTCTCTTTCCCTTTTCATCATATCTTTTATATTATTTACTCTATTTATTTTTACCTTTTCAATCTATCTATACAATAATTTCTAAGTGAATCTTTGTAGACAGAATAACGTGTTCAGAAAATAAAATAACTTCAAATATTCAATCACAATGTTGTATATATTCCCATAATATAGATTAGAATACATATACTCAATTAAATACTTCAAATATCATCATCTCTCCTTTTGAATTTGCATTTCCCACACTTTTCTTGTAATTAGAAAAAAAAAAGCTCCATCTAACTCATTCCCGAAAATTATTTCGAAAAAATTCGTCCAAAAAGCCATTCTTTTTAATATACCAGTTTTTTCATAATTTTCTTTTGAAAATCCAAACTAAATCGAAGTCGACAAATTTTAATGTCGCAGCTTTTATTCAAAATCGTTTTATGGCTCTCAATAAACTATTTCCAAACCAATTTTAAACTAAATTTTAGTTCAATACGTTTTAATTAGGTTTTGCAGTTAAATATATTTCAAATGAATTTCAAACAAATTATTCAAATGCCGTTACACACTCCAAAAACATGAAACGACCAAATTATCCATAGATATTGTAAACTTCGTTATATACGCACAAAAATTGTATCTTTTCTTAAAAATATGATTTTATAATTCTCATGCAATTATAGAATAAACTTTCCTCAGTAGTTCAAAAATAATTCTGAAGCGAATTTTTAAAAAATGTTAAATTATTTCTGGAATAGTCCTTAAATATCCTACCTCCCCACTTTGAATGCTGGAATGATTATACTACACATTATCTTTGAGATTTGCTACAGCTATTATATATATAAAAAATAATAAAAGATTGGTAAAATTTTGGCAATCTAGTTAAACTTTTTTTCTTCACAAAACTCATTCCGTAAAATAAAACCATTTGAAAATACTTGGGTAGTGGACTGTCTATTTGAATTCTTTAATTTTAAGATTATAATTCAATTTTATAAAATATAGTGTCTGGACAAAATATCTAAGAAAAAATAAAAGTTCTAGAATTTATGCACGTAATCACTTACAAGAGAAATAAAATGACTTAACATATGGAAAAATAGGGCCAGAATTTAAAATCTCTTATGTCTGTTTCTCTTCATATTTTACTAAATTTTAATTTTAATTTTAATTTTTATCAAATACACCAGATAGGATTATTCTTTTACCAGTGTGATATTTCCAGCTGACTTAAAACAAAAAGTTAATAAAAAAGAACTTCAACCAATTTCGAAAAATAATCCAAATAGATACCGGCTCCAATAGTTGTTATCCTATGAACTAAACTATTGTCTATAAATTGAAAAAATTTGCCACAAAATCTTAACTAAAGAATAACATCGTGATTAAAGCAATCATAAATATTAATATTTTAAAATTAAAAATTATTTAACATTGAAGTAAATTTGATAATTTATATTTCGGGAGGCGCAGGTTGCCGCGCAGGTTGCCACTCCCATTGCGTAGGAAGAAAGAGCCTCAAAACAGTTCCATACAAGTTTTGTTTCAGAATAGCTTTGTAAAAGTGAACCTAATTTAGTTTAGTCAATCTCGCAACTCAAAAAATGGTTTAATGGGATATCAGATAACATATACAAACAGATCAGATAAGCTTGTTTACAGTAAATTACAATACAAGATTTTTAGATATATGGTACACTGAAGATTCAGTATATGATGTTTCATATGCTAAAACTAATGCAAAAAACAATTCATTTTGTCTACTCAAAGATATAGTTGGTTTCCGAAATACTTTTAAAACCCGAAATATGGATACTAGCAACTTCTACCAGAATAGGTGGAAAAAGAAGCCAGAGGGTAGATTGGCCACGTGGGAAGATAAAGACAATAATACAACACAAAAAGAGATAAATAAAACATTAAAAAATGGAGACAAAGACTAAAATGCACAGTAATTACAAAATTTTCGGTACCGCATTCGCCCACCTCGTTCATCTGTCCAAATGCTTGCTATCTACACGAACACCATGATCCCAAATTTCAGTGTACCTGTTCATGTGCCAGTTACGCACGCAAGTCAATTTGGTGACAAACAACCATACTGGCAGGAAGGTCTAAATTTCGTTTTAGACCCATCAACTGTGTCTACTTACAAGTACATCAACTGTGTCCTTTTACAAGTACAGAAAAGGTGAAAAATTGAAAATTCTGACGTTTCAACTAAACAAATATGAAAGTCTACACAAGTTTGTGATATTGCATTGCAAGACTTCTGACTCCATATGATTGAACTTCTATTGTTAATATACAAGGACGGGCACAACCAAGCACTTTGCTACCATGTGGGGTCGGGTACAAGGGTTACAGGACTAATATTTTGTCTTAACTCATGTGTCTACTATAGACAACTTATTGACTTGTCAATTGTTTGGCACATAGTTTTCTCAGTTTCACCCTACCGTATCATATGTTCTACAATAGCGCTACCCCAAACTTTTGCTAATGCACTTATGAAATGAAACATTCACATTTCTGCAAGAATTTATTTTCTTGTCTTCCTATCATTGAATAATCAGTTCCCAATAAAGATAATTATAGAACTATATATTTTTATCAATAAAATAATTAACAAGACAAATGTTTTAACTTGATATGTTAAAATAAATATAAGCCGCACAAACACACTGTAGCTTAATTGCTTTTGTCAATTTATATCTTTATGAAGGCCCTTTGTTATCAAATTGAAGCTCATATCTGGCAGAAACTTCATATGTTAACAATTGCATTGGTAAGAATATCGAAACTTCACGATAACTGAAAGAGAGACCAACCAACCTTGTCCCGTTTGCATTAATACAGAGAAACTGGCCATGTCGCCACCCATCTTTGAAATTGCCAAAGAAGGCATCACCGGACTTTGTGTAGAATCGTCCCTCACCATTAGCTTTTCCCTTCCAAAAGTTTGCAAACCAGCGATCACCAGTGTGAAAATAAAACCAACCCTGCTTAATCAATACAGCAAATACGATCAATCTAGTCTAATGCACCGTCAAAGATTATTGTGCAATCCATTATGCAATTACGGACACTACACTTTCCAGATTTATTTATCAATCATATGAAACAAGAATCCACAATTACCATTCAATTTCGAAAATTGGTGTACAAGATCAATGCAGCCATTGCTAGTAATTGGATACATATACAGACAAGAAACAATTTCTTTTAGTTACAGGATGTATAAATTGCTAAAAATTATATTAGCGTTAAGAGATCCTAACACAACCTACGTATATACAGACTACCATGGCACAAACACACACAAGACGTTATGGTAGCAGAATCCAACCTATATATATTACAAAAGAAATTACGTTTGTCGTACTCCTGGCTTTGACAATTATATCTAAATAATCAACTTAAAAAAGGGGTACAAACCTTGCCGTGTATGACATCATCTCTCCATAATCCTTGAAACATATCTCCGTTTTTGAAATATAATGTACCGGGACCCGATCTCTTACCATACCGCCATAAGCCATCATATATGCTCCCATCTCTGAGAACAAGGCGCCCCTGGTTGTAAATTTTCATTTAACATAGTTGGTTATCTTCAGCATTGGGCTGTGTAGGCTAAAAAAAAAGGGGAAGAGAAAAAAACATATTTCCGGAGCCTAGTGTGCTTGTTATTATCGACTTTTACGAATTTACCTTTCCTTCAGGTAGACCTCCTTGGCATCGTCCCTTGTATCTTCCTCCCCGATATTGCATTTCCACCACTGGACTCCACTTTTTTGAGAAATCACGTTCTGCCTCCTGTACAAAAATATTAAGTTAAATCTAGAATCATCATGCATGAATTAAGGTTGCAATAAACTATTACGAGTTAATAGTATTTTAGTCTCTTAAACAAAATCAAATTTTAGTTTCTATCCCTGTATTTTTAAATCATTGATTTTACTTCCTAAATTTTTTTAAATATCCAAACTTATTAATTTAACCTTTAAAAATAAGTTTGAATATTTTCAAAAATACAGGAACGATAACTATTGGTAATCAAAGTGGGAGACAAAAACTAAAATATGGAAAAATTTAAGGAACTAAAAGCACCGAACTATTAAAGTATGGCACGTGAAAAATTTAAAATTAGAAGTAATGAAGTAATAATTGTTATATAGCTGTTGATCATGAATAAATTTTCACAAATTTTACTCAAACAAAGTATGTATTACTTAAAAATTAAAGAATACTATGACCTCACAAAAAGGTTGGAATTTGCCTTGCGCTTGAAAAGCAACAGAGGTGTTAGTGTCTTGAGGTCATTTCTTTGGAAAGCTATATTGTCATGCAAAATGGGAAATTCAGTTGTATGACCCTCATCTGTAAGAGCTTGAACTGAAGAAACTACAACCAACACATTTGATAATATCCATAAAATTTGATGCTCACCACTGAACTAATTACTAAAGCCAAATTTGTGTAACTAGCAAAACACATATTTATGCAAAGCTGCAAAACTTTCAAATGTGTGTTTTCATATTTCTGCTAATAGGAAGCCGGGGTCAAACTTGAGCTCATATTCAAATACTAATCGAACTTAATTTGGAGTTAGTGAGGCTACACATTTTTTATCCCCGTTTTTCTATTATATTATTAGTAATAAAGAACTTTACTAAAGGGAAAGAACTGCTAATGACAATAAATTTTCTAGCACAGACAACAATTTAAAAGTAAATCTAAAAGAAGATAGTTGAATAGAAAATATCTCAAATAAACCACAGACAAAGCTACTAGAGTAGAAAATGACTAAACGGTGCACATCTGATTTAGGAGACATTTCCCCTGAATACGACTAGTATCACAATATTCCTCAATTTCTCTTTCAGTAATAAATGCATGAACATATATCATCAAAAAATGAAATACTCATTTACCAACATAGACGCAGCACGAACAGATAGTACTCCATGTGTCTTTGATTTATTAGCATTCTTTCCTTTCAAAAGTGAAGATGCAAATTCCATAACTGCTTCCAAGCTAGCATCAGTCACTGCACTCCAAGAAGACGTACCTCCATTAAATGATTGTGCTTTCACAACATTATCAGTATCAGGCTCATGCTGTTTTGTCATAAATGAGATTTCTAGTCTTTCTTTCAATTCTTCTGAAGGCCTCACGCCAACAGGAAGGTGGAAGATGCTTAGATTATCAACAATTGGTGTAGCATCAGCAGCTTTTTCCTGGGCCCATTTCTTTGCCACCTCAAATCCGGGACCTAAATTCCAGTTCTCAAGTTGCTCCCTTTGAAAAGCAGAGTCACCTAATGCAAGTTGATTTGAAATTCAATAGACAAACTCAACAAATTACCAGACAAATGTTAAGTCAACTGACACATTAATTGAATTATGTCTCAAAATTACCTCCTTCAGTAATAGAGTCATAGAGGATGTTATAGTTGGAAGAGGTGTCAAATAAATCTTCACTTTTTCCTGAATCCCTATTATATAGTTCAAAAGCAAAAATGAAAAACTGTGTAACATTGGGAAAATTTGCTGAAAAAGGTATGAGGAACAGGTGAGGGAGTCAGAGAAAACCTTGAAGCAGGAAACTTGGAATTGTTGCTCATTGTTGGCTCCAACTCCTCATAGTTTTTATCAAGATTGCTATCTATGCCATCTGAAGCGATCTGATTTGTCTTCTCATCAACATCATCAGAACTCATCATTTCTGGCAGAAATACTTCAGTCTGTTTCCCAGTGCCAACTTGTTGCTGACTATGTCTTCCCCAAAAGCTAAAAATAAGAGGAAAATGCATGGCAAGTCTGGATAGTATACCACCATTCTGGGAAGACCGTTCCACATTTAAACAGCTAATTAAATGACAAGAGAAATCTATCAGAAACTGTGCAGGGAATAAGGAAAAAATAAACAGATTAAAGAAAATTATCAGTAATTCAGGGCAGTTTGAACTATAAAATTGAGTCAGCTAATAGGTCTTTCAAGTAAATATCTGGCTTTAATTTCACAAAATGTATGCACGGTGTATTCTCAAAAACAATATTTAGGAAGTGAGCAGTAAAGAGTGGTTGTTTACTTCTTTTGTTTCATTGAACTACCAATTCGGCTTTTTGTGAGTAATCATCTTCATAATTTCAATTCTTTGGCTTTCATCAAATTGAAGCTGTTGTGTTATGTCCTAAGGACGGTAAAGAAACAAAATGTTAAGATCCTATGATATGTAGCATTTTCCATTCGAAATATGGCAAAAAAGGAATGAATGGAACACTATTATTTTGTTCTGTTAGCAGAACTATGAACCATTTTTAACTCGTGTTATGTTATGTTGTGTTTAAAATGTATAAAACTCATAAAAGAACCCTTGTTGAATGTTTCATCCTGTTATAACACATCTCCGAAACAAAACCTTCCTCATTATTCTACAAAACTTAATCTTACAAAAACTGAGCACATTTACTTAACGGTGAACCATTTGAAATTAATACGTTCATATGTTAAACCAATGATATGAATATAAGGTCTATTTGGACAAAGTTCTCCATAGCACTTCTAGGAGGGAAATAAGAAGAAAAAGATAATAACTTCACTATAAGCTTAATAAAGCTTATCCATAAGCTAATTTATAAAAGCTCCAGTGATTTACCTAAATTTTTATTTTTAACTTCTAGAAAAGCTCAGCTCATTTTCTTTTTCATATATTTCTGTCCTAAAAAAACTATGGAGATATTTGGCCAAACATAACCCAGTATTTTATTCGTAAATAATTTGATGAAAAATTCACCGTTTAGTTATTTAGGATTTCCACCTGTTTTCCAAGGTCTAACACCTATTTTGTAATTGAATCCTAATCTTTCCAGTTCAAATTGAATGAAATTCAGCCTTCATTTTGAAATGAACACTACTAGCTCTTTCTCAAGTCATGTGATATGAAGTTTCACTAATGCCATGTTTGGTAGAGTAGAAGAAATAGATTAAAAAAATAGCAGAGCTTAAATGTTTGATTGAAGAAAAATGGAGAAGAGATTAGTACAAAAATAAGTGAGAAATTAATTTGAACCCCTTTCATCCTTCTCCTTCCTCAACCAAACAGGGAGTAAGATAGAAAAGAAACATTATAAAACATACAATATCTCACTGCTCTGCTCAAATGACACAAAGCTGACATGATACACACCCCCAAAAAACTTCAAGTTTGACACTCGGTGCTTAACAAGACATGCATAAACAACGTGCCCCATTGATGGTAGTTCATTGCACCAAAACTAGCATTAAGCAAGCAAACCTTCTTTTAAACTCTCATATTGATGCATAGAACAAAGAATAGAATCCTCTGTTAAAATTTCAAGAGTCAGGTGTAGATAAATCATTCTCAATTTCAACTCAGCAATAACATTAAATATACGGAAGCTAAGAACTTTAATGTATAGATGTAAAAACACACTAATACGCTTTCATAAGTTCTAACTCTGAAAAAAGAAGTTTACCAACATGCGCTCATATTCATATCTTCAAGAAATGTATTTACCTAACTTGCCTTTCCTTTTTGACTTGAGAAACTTCTACTTTATCCACAAAAATAAAACTTACCCAAGTGTAAGCACTGTCGTTATGAGTAGGTTGGGCTCAACAGTAGGGTCATGTATTGCTGATATTATAATATCTTTTGTGTAATTTGTTGTTTGACGGAAAGTACGTAGAAAGATTTCTATATCACTATCACTGATGGGTCCTGAACAGGCAAGAGTGCATATAACTATGCTATTTGGATCCTGAACAAAATAGTAATCATAATAAGCTTATACGGTATAGGAACAAGAACTAGAAGTCAACGAAAAGAGTGATAGCCAAAAATGTCCAAAATAAATTTTAAAAAAAGGAACTACAATAACAAATGGCGGAGAGGGGCCAGTCAGTCATTCTGAAAAAAGGATTTAGCAACAATGGCCTTTAAATAAATGTATTTTGAAAATTTGTGATCCGTCAACAAATAAAAAATACCTATCATGCATGAATATGGAAAAAACTGATTGATACCTTCAATCGAGCACCCAGGAAAGGACTATCGAATATAGACTGCAAAATTGAAGCTTTTATGTTAGCAGCGGCTCCAAATCCAATCCCTGCTTCTTTATAGGATTCTAACATCTGTACACAACAACACCAATTTTATAATGAATGGTGTGAAAGAAAATGGAAACATTATTCAAATGCGGTCCTGTTTAAAGGAAAATATAAACTACGCTATCAAGTTGTGTAAAGAAGGGTCTGAATCATGGTAAAAATCATTGAAACCTACTTTATTAATTTCTGAAAGACTGGCCTCTTTCATCCCACCGTTCAATCTGTCTATAAATTTTCTGTGCATCTCCTGCAAAATTTTCAATATATAACCACAAAATAGTTTTATAAAAACAAATAGCAGGAAGTATATTATAAAACTAAACTTACAGACTTCAGAACAGAGACAGCCTTAATAGCAAGCAAAACTGCATCATTAGCAGTCTTCATGGCCTCATCTAGTGTCAACAAGTCTTTCTCAAGCAGTGCATCAATATCAATTTCTGTATCATAAATCAACAACTAAGAAAAATTTTGTAGCTTTTGTAGGCCTATTGATTAATGAATTAAGAGTAAATTATAGTATATTACTTTCCAATAGGGTAAAGACAGCTATCAATTAGTTAAAAAGAATGTAGGTTAAACAGTATAAAGGGGAAAATAGTGATTCTATTTCTACTTTACGGAGGTCACTTATTTACAGGTGGGACATGGAATAAATAGCCTCAGAAAAAGCTTAAGTAGAGAGAACCTTTGCACTTATTGATCAATTCTTGCCAACAGTACAAGACAGTATCACCTTTATTGATAATAGAATTCAATTTTTCTTTTACGCTTGGTACCAGTTTAACACAGAAACAGCTTGTGTAACATATTCCTCCTTGGACATACATCAGACTTGACATAGCAAGAAATTGATGGCTTTTTAGTGATGTTGTTTACACATGCGGATTATAATAAGTAAATACTCTTTCCAGAAAAAGAAAAACTCCCCTTTAATTATTAGCTATAATTGGCAAACATTAATGAGCCAGATAAGAAGTTCGTCAGAATCAAATTTTAACAAGCAAACATATGAAGTATAGCTCACCAATAAGTAAGTTTGTGTTCTCCTTAAGTTTCTGCATCAAGGCCTTCACCTACGAATTTATGGCACAAATAAAGTATTAAACATACTACATGATCTGGACATGACTTGACCATAAACATATTTTAGTCAAGGAATCTCAAGTAACCATAAAGTGAAGAATAAATAATGACCAATAACCTTAACTGGAATTCTCTCAGGTAATCATATTCAATAAGATTATATGGCCACAGAAATAGTCATCATATTACAGGTGGAAATTTTTAAACGGTGCTTGAAAGCATGTTTAGGCATAAAAGAACATGTAATTGAAAGAGTCAAAGATACCTCGTTTTGGCGTCTAAGCCCTTCAAATCTAAATGGCTTCAAAACTATAGCCACTGTTAATCCATTCCTGGACCTTACAGTTTCAAAAATATCAGCTGCAACAGTGTGGTACAAGCCATATCCTGCACTGGCCACCTAAAGAGAGGGGGAAGGGAAGGATAAAGGTTACACGTATCAAACAACTAGAATGAAAGCTAGCAAGAGTCATACATCTTATGATTTGCTTTTTGCATAAAATAATTAACCTTGCAAGGAATATAATGTTAACTCATGCCAGTCAGCTGTAAACTATCTACAACACATAATTACAGAATTTCATTTGATCAAGCAAGCATATCTCTTATGATGATGAATAATGAATTTAAGAATCTCAGTTGACTACTGCATGCTTCACAAAATCATCAGGTGAAAGGGATACAGCACACCACGTCACCTGGACACCCATGGATGCATATTACTACTACTGAAACAGAGGTTTTACTACAAGACTTTGAAGGTAAGGAATGTACAAACAAGAACAATAGCCTGTGAGCATGACTTCAAAAATATGGGAGCTTTGACAACTCTTGGATGAGATTCTGCAATAGATAGCCCAAAAATTATTAGATTTTAATCACAGAGATCAATGAGAGATATGTATGAAAATTTAAATTGAAATTCACGAACAACACAAGGCACTTTACCCCCTTTTTCCTTCAATATTTTCTTTTCATCAAAAACTAAGTTTCATTTTTGGTTCTGAATTGTATATAATAAAGACTGAATTGTATATAATAAAGAATTAATCAAGAAGAATGTTTCGATTAAACATTTTCTCCCAAAATACGCCTGCACGTGTCTCTGTATTAAAGTAGACAGAATATAATTATATGATAAAAAATAATCACAGTCATATTAAATCAAATGAAAACCTTCTTCAATTGATCTTTGTTGTAAATGCACTTCTTCTGATTCTGTCATAAGGATACTCCTGCAGAAGATTCCAGAAGATCAAAATGCAAAAACAACAAATATAAATCAATTCCAGAAGAATTTAGATCGTTTTATCTGGAATGGAAGAAGTAATTTAGTAAATACATAAGTCATTTCCAGTGTACTCTGAAAGATGTTTTTAAAATACCACAAACTTTACTAACCCTTGTAAATTATTTTACTTTCTTAACAACGTGGAATTTAAGCCTAACTTAATATTATAAAATCAATTTATAAAGTAAGATTTACACTTACTTCTAGTAAGAATATATACTATAATTTTGACCTTATTTCTAGTCTATATGAGTTCTTCAACACCCCCACGCTACACCAAATATGGGACATCTCGAGCATCGGACTAGGGAGAACCCCATAGTGGATGACACGAGGCCCAGCACTTTGCAAGGACAAACTCTGAATGAATGTGAAACCATTTTAAGAAAGTGAGATCTAAGTCTAACTCAACCTTATAAAATTGACTAGTAGAATGAGATTTACACACATTTATACACTTTACTAAATGAAACATATTGGAGATGACATTCCACTCCATTGATAGTCAAGGACAGAAGCAGCAAAAGACCAAAACGCAAATAGCATAATTATCACGTGAAACGTTTAAGCATAGAAACACCTTTAAAAAATATATGTCTTTCACCCCAAACAAGGTCTTAAAATGTGAGTTTAAATTTAACTAAATCCCACAGCTAAGGAAATAAAGGTTGTTCCCCCACTGTTATACTATTTTGAAGTTCTATATCGAGTAGTAGTGATATTGATATTGAAGGCATCAATTGCTATTGTTCACAGACAGAGTTTGATTAAACATGATCCAAGACTGAGTGCCAAAAAATTAAGGAATCTTGAATTAAGGAATCTTGTGCACCAGTAAAATTGGGATCGAGTGACAAGATTTGTGAATAACCAAATAAAGCTTCTTGGGGTCAAGGCCCAAATTGGAGCGCAAATAATCAAAATTATGTATTGTGGATGTCAGTCTTGAGAAGATAAGACGTAAAATAATTCAGACAACTGATGAGTGAACGGAAAAATAAACTCAGAGAAAGTTAAATAACTATAAAGGAGAGTATAAAATTTCTGCTCAATGCATCACATAAACTTTAGGTAGGACACATACTCTTAAGTATATAATGTTATGTACTAACTATTAGTTATAGTCTTTGATCTAGTGGTATTTGTGACATGGTCACCTCACCTCTACCATAGGAAGTAAAATTTTCACTCCCAAAGCCAGGGATAGAACAATAACAAAATTTCACAACCTCTCATCACACGATGCTTGCTAAAAATCGTTATAAGCTTTAATGATCCAACAGTAACAACACACTGATTTATTATCCTTTGCCATTATAGAAACCTACAAATAATTTGTATCAAACGCAAATAATTTTAATTACTTTTCTCTTTCCCGAACAAGCCTCCCGATGTAGATAAGGTTTATTACTTATTCAACTCTCCCTTAGGCTTTTAAAGAAAGAATAAAAGAAGAAGCAAACACATCCAAGAAGACACAAACCACACTTGGATCTCCGACTAAGGAGTAGTCAGAAGTTCCATACACTAATCCGTACCAAAAATCAATTGAAAAACATCAAGAGTTCAAGAAAAACAACGTAATCACACGTAAAGGACAACAGCTTCAAATTAACACTTCTGAAATGAAAATATAAAACGCGAAAACATTGAAAATAAAGTAGACCGTTACCAAAACCGCAGCAAAGGCAACTGAAACGGCGCGCTCAAGCAGAAATCAAAAATAGCGTCCTTCCTAGAACCAATGCCTATGACTTCGACGAAATCAGGTTTCGTTTCTCCGTTTTCGGTTCCACCGTAACCGTTCGACGACGAACATTTCTTCTCCGAACACATCTTGATCCGAACAAACAGTTTTGGCTCGGGAATCCAAGAGAAGCCATAATCGCCGCGACGAAGAGGAAAGGAGCAGCGGCTGCAGAGTTGATTAGAAGAAAATAGAATTAAGGAAGCATTAGAAACTGCTTTGAAGGTGGGGAAGGCAGAAAGCTCCATCTATAGTAGGGGAAAGCGTGGCACAGAAGATAAGGCTTCCATCAATGAATCATACCGTCTCCCGCTATGTGACTCTATTTTCTTCTTATTTAAGTACTTAAATTTTTTACGTTTTTTAATTGAGTATATATCGTATTTATTAGACGAATAGTATATATATATATATATAAAAGTAATAAAAGTTGATTGTTCATTTACATCAATTCACATTATTGTTTTATTGATCACAAAATATCGTATTAACATGACATGTGTAAACAAATAAATAAAATAACCGTCGTGTTATTTCATAAACAGAAAAATTAATAAGTAATAAAAGCTGTTTGTTCCTTTACATCAACTACAGTGTTGTTTTATTCATCACAAAATCTCGTATTAAGATGACATGTGTGAGCAAATAAATAAAATAACCGTTATATTATTTCATAAACAGAAAAATTAATAAGTAATAAAAGTTGGTTGTTGCTTTACATCAATTCACAGTGTTCTTTTAATGATCACAGTATCTCTTATTGACATCACATGTGTAAACAAATAAATAAAATAACTCGTGGTCATGGTATAGACTTAAAAGTTTATCCTCGGTTTTATGATATCCAAATGTTATAAGTATACGTGTTCACTTTAAATAGTATTGTCAAAATAGGTAATGCCGTAACTTAGTAACTTAGTGAGACAATACTCATTTATTAACAATTCTAAAAAAAATTAAACTCGGTTAATTCATTACATATGAGTGGTTAAACGGATTGATTTATTTAATTATAATTTTTTTTCAAATTCTAAAAACTTATAATTTTTTGTAATTTAAATTTAAATAAATTTATTTTTAAAATGATATTAAACTCCAAATATCATTTAAAAAAATATATCATACAATCCAAATGTAATCCAAAAGCAAACATAAAAAACAAAAAATAAGTTGTTAATATTGATCATTTTTGTGTCATTTATCCATTTATAATATTAGGACTCTCTTAAAATTTATTTTTCTTTATTTCATCTACAATATAATAAAAAATGTTAATTAATAATATTGAAACATAAAATAATAAATTATTAAATTAAATTAGGTGGGTTGGTGAATCAATTTCGCTCACCACGGGTTCAACCCGAGTGATCCGAGTTCTAAGTAAGACAGATTGAAAATTGACTCGTATAAAAAAGAGGGTTACTCCCTCCACTACCCCAACTACTATCTACATCTCTTCGGATTTTTTCTTATTCCAAAAATATCCTAGATTAAAATTTTTTAACTTGTACCATTTAACTTTATTTACTTTTTTTTAAAACTCTAATTCTGCAGCCACCACCCCTCACTTTTCTCTTTCTCTAATTACACACAAATCTTACCTCCCTCACTTTCTCTCTTCCTCTCTTCTTTGCACACAGCTCCCTCACTTTCTCTCTTCTTTGCACACAGCTCCCTCACTTTCTCTCTTCTTTGTACACATAGAGCCCCCACCCCTCCCTCTTTTTCTTCGTTTATTCTTCCCTTTCACATTTTTGTGGTTAAAACTTCCTTTTTTTGATCTTTTTGTATATGTGTACTGTAAATGGATTGGATGTATGTGGTGTGTTGTTTAAGAGGAAGAATAAGATAAACATGAAGGCTTTGAACAGATGTGGAAATCCGTCCAGCCTTCAACGGATCTTGAGATCCGTCCACGGATGTCGAGATCCGTTGAAGGCTGAACGAATTTCCCACATTCATTCAAGCCTTCGCGTTTCAACTCTTTTAATTTTTTTTGTTTTTAGTTTTTTTTTTTAGATTTTGATTTCTGAACATTGTAAATGTTTATTTGTGTAGATTTTACATAATGTAATAATTTTTATAATAGATCTTGATTTAAGTTAACCCTCGTGTGAAAAAACTTCTTTTAACTGCAGGACAAAACGAGAATAGGAAGGTGTAAGGAGTAACATGTGGTGGTGGAGGGAGTAACCCTCAAAAGAATACATTTTTTTCATAACCCAAACTTATGGTGGACCGAATTGATTCGCGTATTCTAACCGATTTTGACAACACTAACTTTAAGTCATCTTCTTCACACTGAAACTCTTTTTCACATTATTTGTATGCTACAACTAATAGTTGTGCGTGTTAAAGATACTTTGATACTTAAGTTAATTAATTATCCTAACAAATTATCAGTTAATGTTATAATAATGTTTTTAAAAAATCCCAACAATTATGTATTTGATTTATTTTTATAGAAATCTCTATCAACCTTTGATTACAAGTAACCTATTTTTTTTATATTTAATTAAATCTTATTACTAATATGTTTATTGACTGAATCTGAGAGGACCGATCAATCCAATCACAGAACAATTCATATAAAATAATTCCATCAATATAAATACGGGCCCATTAAGTACATTACTGATACTCCTTTGTAATAAATAAATAAAAGAATCATAGGAAATATACCTTTATTGATTAATTTTGTTCCTTAATATTATATGGACTAATCAGTTTCAGTTTCAATATTGACCAATCAGTTGTATTAACGTTTTCCAGTAAATTTTTTATTCCCAAGATTTGAACGTGAGGATTTAATGTGAAAATTCCAAATTCCTATTATATTTTAACAAAAGCTTGTAAGTAATTTATGATTAGTAGCATGACAAGAACAAGTGACCTTTAAAGGTGCATTTCCTACTGCGTGAAATTTCAATCTGCATCTCATAGGTGGTGCAGTGACTTGTTTACCGTAATATTCTTCACTTTATCTTGTTATTTTTTCTTTGTTCGTGAACGAAATTTCATTTTTTTCAATGGTTCTCCACTTATAACAGTGCATTTTTCACAGATTTTATCAAAATAAAAAAAATATTTATTTAAAAACACATTTGAAATTGTGTAAATCGACCGGAATATAATCCAGGATACAGTTTTATATTTCAAATTTTATATCTTAAAATAAAAAATATTGATATTTAACATTATAAACTGTATAGTCCAAAATGTCTCAGGATTACACATTCCTTATACACACCACTGAAAAATCTAAATCATAGGCTGAATTTAGAATTTTAAATTTTACAGGATTGGAGGTTGAAATTATTGGGGTGTAGAAAGAAATGTTCTGTTTGAAGGGAGTTACTACTGTGTTACTATTGATTAAAGGCGTGTGTAGAGGAAAACCTTTTCTCCGCGTCTCTCCGTCTTTCTTTTTGTGGTTTGCAGAACACAGTGAAAGCAACCATGGCGGAACGAAGCAACGGGGAAGTTCTAACGCTGGAAGCGCCACCGTCTTACAATAAACCTACCAGCTCGGACGCCGAAATTATGGACGCATTACCTTGCATTGACAACGATTACACCTACCCCGGGGTCAAACTCGAGGTTGACCGTCTCGTCGAGGATGAGATGCGCCGCATCTTTAAGAAACCCACGTATTTCCCCAAAGATTTCCCTCCTCTTCCCAGCTCCAATTTCGAGGTTCTCTTTTTCTCTATTCAACTTTTCTTTTGGAGGTTTAAGATGAGATATAACACTTGTAATTTCGATTCCTAACCTCACTGTTATTTATTTTTTATTTTTTAGTGTTTTCTGCGCAATTTAATTTATACTATTGTCCTTCATTACTCCAATTCTATCTATATCTACGGAGTTTATGTGTGTCATATATATATATATATATATATATATATAAATGGTTTGGTTGGGGAAATGGAGAATGATGTTGACGGAGGTGGAAATGAAAAGAAAGAAGGAAAATGAAAGGGAATTATAGTTTTAAAAATAAAAAATAAAATAAGTAAAGGTAAAAATAAAAATGATAAGATTGAAATTTAGAAAAAATTGAGAAGGTGTAGGAAGAAGATAGGGTGGTGGAGGAAATAATATTCTAAATTAAAATAGTAAAAGTAAAAAATTTTAATCTAAAGATATAATTGAAATTAAAGAAAATTGGAGAGATGGAGGAAGAAGGGGTGGTGATGTCGAGTGATAGGATTTGACACCTACCTCATTGGAGGCCCAAAACGCTTATTATGGACATGTTTATTTTTTAGGGTTACCCTTTCACCACCATAGGTTCCTTCCTGCGTTTTCTTAACTTTTTTTTTTTCAAAATTAATCTTATTTTAATATTTATTTTTTAATTTTACCTATTTTAATCTAAAAGTCTAATCTAATCTCACTTTTTTTCACTTTTCATTACAGTCTCACACCCTCACATCACAGAAACTTCTCTTTTTCTTCCCTTCCTATTTCCATTTTTTTTATTTCAGCCTCACATCCTACTCCTTCGAAAAAAAATTATTTTTTCTTTTCATTATCTTTTTCCTCTCCTCCTAATATTTCTCTTATTTGTGATTTCTGTTTCCTCTTCCGTTTCTGATGCTTCCATTGTCATTGAGTTAGCTATAGAGATGGTTGGTTCGCGAAGAAGAGTGTGGTTCGTGGTTGATTTCGCCCCAAAAATGCGGGTATCTGTGTGCTGTTGTTTGAAAAACGTATAAGAAGCCAAACGCGAATGTCTTAAGGGATATGGAAGATTCGTTCGGCCTTCAATGGATCTTGATTTCTGTCGACAGATGTCAAGATCTGCTAAAGCTTGCATATCCGTTCAGATCTTCGTGTTTGGCTTCTTTTATTTTTTTTGTTTTGTTTTATTTTATTAATTTTATTTTTTTGTATAAATTTTTATTTTAGATTTTGAATTATTTATTAATTTAATTGTAATTATTTAATTTATTTTAAAAAATTCTGTATAAAAGAAATTCGTTCAAAGGCTAAACGAATCTTGACTTTTGTTGATATATGTCAAAATCTGTTGAAAGCCAGATGAATATGTTAATTTGCAGGACAAAATAAGAACGAAGAGGTGTAAACAGTAACATGTGGTGGTGGTGGAGAGAGTAACCCTCTTTATCTATCTTTTAATTCGTTGGAGTTAATTGAAGATTTTGATTTAGTTCTCATCAATTTCAAATATATTTTTAATTTTTGTAAACTTAACAATTTTTATTTGAAAACATTGTTTTTATAAATAAAAAATATTTCATATTTTTTCAACGTTAAAACAAAAATTATTACAACCAGTACACATTTTATT